ACCACCACCAAATATCTTTAAGCATCAAGAAAACACAGCCAAAGACGCTAATTATAGATCCCCATCCCCACCCATTTGCAAAAAAATAAAAACAAAAATAAAAATAGAAACACAATTACAAATAATCAAGAAACAGAAGTGGAAGTGGTGGAGCTGCTACTCACCCAAGCATCGATAACCCCATTCGGCGAAGCCCGCAAATTCTTCTCCTTAAGCAACACAGACTCATCACTTTCCGGCGAAAGCGGCACCTTCCCCAAACTAACCCCACTCGCCACCTCCCTCAAAAACCCAACCACCTCATCCATACACGGCCGCATCTCCTTATCCGGCTGAAGACACCTGAACGCCAGCTCAGCCACCGACCTCGTCATCCTCGCCACCTCACCATCCGTCCCATACCCAAGTTTTGGGTCAATCAGCTCGTCAAACGCACACCTCTGTATCCTACTCAGCGCCAGATTCGCAAGGTTGATGTCGTGCCTGTGCCTCGTGATATCGACAGCTGGCATCGAAGATATTAGCTCTATCAACACAACCCCAAAGCTGTACACATCACTCTTGTCAGTAAGCTGATAGTACTGATGGTACTCTGGATCCACGTAACCCGGTGTCCCCTATGGGTAGGTAGGGTTGTAAAGGAATCGAATCAAAGAGAATACTAAGATATTCGATTCAAATTCGTTAAAATATTCGAGGATTCGAATTCGTTAAAATATTCGAGGATTTGAATTCGTATTCGATTTGTAAACGAACTCATCTTTTGATTCGTATTCGATTCGATTTGAAATCGTTTTCAAAAAAATATTATAGTTAAAAAAATATTATAATTACAAAAATAATTTTTATGTTTTTCCATGTTTTCAGCGAAAATTGTTAATTTAGGATGTTTTTACTTCTTATGTCATAAAAATATTAGAAATATAACAATATAAATATCCATATATATTATAAACAAAATGTATACTATATATAATTTATAAAATTTATATAATTATCGTTTTTTTTAACGATAGGTATATAATTATTGTTAACGAATCGAATATCTACAAATTCGAATTCGGATTCGTTTAACTTTCGAATATAAAACAATATTTGTATCCAAATTTGAATTTGAATCACGAATATCGAATCGAATAAAAAAAGTTCAATTTGTTTACAAGCCTACCTGTGGGGCCGTCGAGACGTGGGTCACGTCGTTGGGGAAGAGGCGCGAGATCCCGAAATCGGCAACCTTCACTCGGAACGATTCGTCGAGGAGGATGTTGTCGGTTTTCACGTCTCGGTGGATGATGTCGGATTTGTGGAGGTAAGAGAGGGCATTGGAGGTTTCGAAGGCGATGCGCATGCGAGCGGGCCAAGGGAGGAAGGAGTCGAGGGCCCGGTGGCCGTGGAGGTGGTCGGCGAGGGTGGAGTTGGGGACGTACTCGTAGACGAGGAGGAGCTCGCGGCTGCGGCGGGAAGTGCAACCGTAGAGGGAGACGAGGTTTTGGTGGCGGAGAGTTGTGAGGATTTTTATCTCGTTCATGAACTGCTCAACTCGACGGTAGTTGTTCTCGTACATACGCTTTACGGCCACTTCTCTCCCGTCACGGAGCTTGCCTGTTTGCCGAAAAAATAAAAAAGTTGTCGTTTTTTTTTTTTACTTATAATCAATTAGAGCATGTTTGTATATAGAAATTTTCAGTCACATTGAATTTTTTTGGTTTTTTTTGGTTAAGTAAGTAGAGTTAACTTGGAAAAAGATGGTATGGTTAGTTGTTAGTGGGATTTTTGGATTTATATTAAAATAATATTTAAGATGAAATAATTAAAGTTGATTTGATGTAAAAATAGGAGAGAGATAATATGAAGTGATGGTTAGTTAAAACTATGTGAGTAGATAAATAGTGAATTAAAGTAGATGTGATGTGTAAGAATGATTGGTTGGTATTATTGAATTATATTGATAAAGTTGAAGATAGTGGAGTTGAGTTAAATCTGAGTTAGATTTTGAGTATGAATTGTGTATGAGTTGAAATAATTGATATACAAACACACTCTTAGCTTCTTACCGTAGTAAACAGTGCCAAAACCACCGTCCCCGAGTTCCTTGGAGGGATTGAAGTTATTGGTGGCTTCTTCGAGTTCTTTGTAGGAGAAAATTGGGATACCAAAGTAGAAGCTTTCGCCGGCCTCTATGTCTGATTTAGAGGATGGATCGAAAGATGAATTCCTCGAGAAGAGGTAGTCCTCGTTCATCCTCTTCTTGCGTCGTTGACATAATATATAGAGCGCAAAGCTCATCACGAGTAAGAATCCTCCTCCAGAAGCTTGAGAGATCATAAAATTTAGCGGATTAGCTATGTTTCAGACTCATATATAGCAACAAATGGGAATGAATTATAGGAGCCCACATATGTTCTGTATTTACTCACCAATAGATATTGTCAGCACCCTTCTTCGATTATCATCTGCACCATTGGAAAAAATTAGGAAAAGAAAAAAAAAGGTCACGAATCAGATTGAATTATCATTCGACAACAACAACATCCATGAATCCATAACAAGATATTCAGACATGTACTATACATTAAAGGTTGTTGTCGGCTTTTCACATTTCAAGTAATAACCGTAAACTCAGTGAAAGATAATTAAGAGAAACGAAACATGTTTCTGGCACGAAGGGACACAATATTTATGGAAAATACTTGTACCTCTATAACAATGGTAGTGAATCATATGATTAGTAAGGCATTTGCCGCCTCCATTGTGACAATCTTTATAAACATTCCACTCTATAAAAAATTCATCACTCAACAGATCCATAAGATTATTCGCATTCCTGGTGGAGTTAAGAAGAACATGGATGACTGAACAACCTTCAGGAATGGAATAATCATATGAACAACCTTCAGTGAGACACTATAACTCTTTCTCTTCAGCAAAACCATATGTTATGAGAAACAAGGGAGAAGATGGAATTTGCAGGTGTTTGATGTCCTTTGTTGCTTTCTTTTTACTAGTTAGGTCTGTGTTTTATTTTCCCAGTGAATTCATATCAGTCAAAATGTCATGGCAGTATCAAACACGCCAATTGACTTGGAAAAAGTATCTGTGTGCAAGACTTGTGGAAAATTCACTAGCAGAATAGCGGGTAATTTTGTATTTTGAATCATATGCTTATGATGTGTAAGGCTTTGCATTGGTCATAGGATCCCAACCTTTTCAACATGGTCGAAAAATTATGAGAATCCAACTTGATGATTTGAAGTGTAAGGTGGTGATTCGACACAAAAAGTATTTCATTTTTATCTGTTTATTTAAGATTTTTTTTTTCATGAAGTTTAAAAAAAATATTTTTTTAGTTTTGACTCGTCGGATAACTTATTTATTTGGATAGAACTAACGGAAAATGCTACAGGGAATGGTTCCCTCGTATAAACCTCCAATAGGAAATTACCACATCACTTAACTACATCTAAGGATTGACATCAAAATTAAAAGATCTAATGACTTTAATTGAATTGAGAAAACCATTCCCCCACGGGACTGTAGCATTTCCCAAAACTATAATTGCATACAGAACTTGAACTCAAAATTTAATCTCCTTCTAACTCGACTTAACTCTCCTCAATATTATTACTATAATTAAATAATATAACCAATCATTACTACACAATTTCAAACCATGCACTCACATATTTTTTTACTACCAATTATTATTTTACTACTTATATATCATATCAACTTTATTCATTACATCTTCACTCATATTCATTCACAAACTCAAAATCAAACCAAATTTTAACTTAAATCAACCTTTTCAAACTCAACTCACTTTATCCAATAAATCAATATCATTTCTCTCAGAAATCAAATCTGGGTCCAAATGTGAAGGTGGGAATCAGTCAGATTTTTTGTGTGGTGAGCTGAGGAGTTTTTTGTGACCATATCGCTATCATTTATTTAGGGCGATAAAAAAAAAAAAGAAATGTTAAATAGTGCAACTTGATTTCACGCAAAATTTACATATAATAAATAGCTACCAGCTTTCGGGCTGGTGCGGCTGAATTACGATATGCAATTTGAATTTACATTTGCGTTATCAACTATAGTGAAGATCAGAATTAGGAAAAACCATAAACAGCGGAATAATACATAGCTATATATTTTTGTTACGAGATATGATGATTCGACCCTCCTAAGTCCTAACAATCATGTCACCTCATAAAAAATAATGTGTATACTGGGAAAAGGACAAACGAGACTGCCACATAATAATAACTACTTATAGTTGATGTATCATGCAGTGCAAATATGAGACTCAAATTGACACAAAGAAATCACCTCCAATCCCAAAATTACTATTAATTCAGTCCCCTCGAACAAATGAGAGCTTAGGGGTGCATGAGATATCATAGCAGCAACTATTATTTTTTAGTCTAACCAAACCGTTAGACTGATATACATTTTTACAACTATGGTAACTTTCATTATATAATTTTTCTGTTAGGCTGAACTGACCATGACCATGACCATTAAGCTGATACACTTTTTTTCACAAATATGGATATATATACTAGAAAATATTGTAATATAAGAACAAGATAAACGAAATTATCAAATTTGATAGTATAACTACACATATTTGTTCGTAAAGTACGATGAATTGACCTACCTAGTATTAGGTGAGGCCGCCGTACATATTTTTTAGAAACAAAAGGTGCTACAATAATAAGTGTGTCATTTGAAAGTCTCTATGATTGTCGCCAAGTACTTTTGCTAGTTTTGGAGAACACCAATCAAGCTGTATATGATTTGTATTTTTCACAAATTATCCTAAAGAAAACAATCAAGTATACATCAAGGTGTTGATGAAGATATGATGCAAAATAATTTCTATTATTTTTGGTATTAGAATATTTGGTAGTGTATTAGTATCTATTATTATTATTAGCATTTAATATTTATTTATTATTTATGTTTAGATTTGGTGAGAAAGTTACTGTTAGGGTTTAGGAGCCTTATATAAAGGACTCCCCTCTTTTATTATCTTCAGTTGATCATGAATTATTGAATAAAAAGATGATTTGATATCGTGTTTAGATGTTCTTGAGATTGCGATCTCATTAATATCGTCCCACTCGTACGCTTCCCTACATCAGGTGTTTACGGCATTTGCAACTTGAGAAGATAATTGAGTAAACAAAAATGTCAATTATTTAATTAATATATTATAGCAAGTAAATACAAATTTATTAAACCAGTACACAATTTCCACTGCACTGCAGTTGTGTTCAAGAAAGGGTATGCAGTGAAACTATATTTTCTGATTAGCCTAAGGCCAACATTATAAGGTTAAATCAACCATTAATTGTACTCAGTTATCTCGATTTTGATAAATGCATCCCCAGATCATTAACTTTTCTGCACAAGATTTTTTTTTTTTTGTAATCCAAGTCAGAAATCTTTGATGCATTTCGTAAGCAATAGTTCCAGTTTGAGATATTTGGAAATTCCTTATGTACGATAGAGGGGAATATAATTTTACAGAGGTCGGCAACCTATCAGACATAAGTTCCATATTTTGTTAGCCTAGCTTTGAAACTCAGAAAAACTCGGGGAATACAGATTCCTGGGGAAGTACTTGCAGAGAAAAAGTACTAGCCGTGTTAGATCTTTTCGTATGTTCTTACATGTATCGCTAAACTCAGGCATTCATGATTTTATTAAGTTAAGAAATTTAATTATCAGACTGCCTTATAATCAATGTTGCAGTGGGAATCACACGAAATTATGTCTACAGTATTTCTAAAATCGGAGTATATTTCAATATGTTACCATTACAAACCTCTTCGACTTTTGTGTTAATCTACTACTTGTAAATGAGAACAAAATATCAAGAACGGTAAATAATCCAAAATGATAACCCAATTTTGTTTTTTGGTATTTATGTAGACCTCAAATGCAGTGTTTATAATTGACTTGGGGCACCAAGTTTGACACCAAGATAGCTGCTGGTACCCTACTCAGCATTATGAATATATTCATATCAATTTCAAGTTAATTAATATTCATATACCGACCAAAAACAGCACCATCAACCATATATTTTAAATCAATCACACAAAAAACACTATTTTGACCCAGTCCTAACCACAACTACTGGGTAGACTTTTTTTTTTTTTANAAAATCAACTGTAACATGATTTATCATTAAGCAACATTCATGAAGAAAAAGCTGTGGAACTGAAAACTTACCAGGCTTGCAACTCCTGGAATGAGGCCTATCAGGACAAAAGCACCTAAAATGGAAATTGGTGATATTAAACCCACAATGGCCGCCGCTATCTGCACAATCATTGCAATCGCTCGCCATCCAATTCAGCACAAATCCGCTCCTCAACACTGCCGGAATATTCGAAATTCCACTTATACCCTCGCCCACAGGGGCAACCACGTTCCTCTCACAAATCTCCAAAGCAGTCCCCAAATTCGAATCCCCTTCATAAATGGCCAAATCCCAAATATGCCCTCCTTCGCAGCCACCAGCAACGTTGTACCTCACCAAAGCCTCCGGCACGGGCCTACGGCAGCCCGAAAACAGATAAAGGTCCGTAGCACCAACGTAATTGAATCGGGCCGGGGGGAGAGTCGTGTTCTCGATTCTCAGGCGACAGATGCTGCTTTCGGGCATCAAAACGGCGCTGTTATAAGCATGGAGCGACCGATTTCGGTAGAAGATTCGGTCCAAAATGTAATCGTTATCGGAAAATTTAAGGACAGGGAGACCCTCTCGGCTGCAGTTCAGCTCGAATCCGGGGTACCCACAGTAGGATTCTTGCCGGCCCGGGATATAGAACGGGAAGCTGACGTTCGGGCCGTCGCCGCAATTTATGGGCCCGCATGCCTCGTATTGATAGTGGGCAGCCCAGGATTGTTTGGATAGGAGGATGATGCAGGATATGAAGAAGTTAGTGCACGTGTTGTGTATGTTCATCTGTGAGATTTTGGAGCAAGTTCAACTGTGTATGTATGTATGTATATGGCTTTATTGCTTTTATTAGCAGGCTTATCTGGATTTTGAAGATGGTGGGTTGGGTATGTCTGACCTGAAACTTATATGGTTGTTGAAATAAAATGGCAAAATCCTATGTAATGTAGTGGGTCAAACATTCTATACTTGAATGGATTGACCAACCCTTTTTCTTCTAACCTTTTCTTTTTCTTTTCCCTTTGTGTTTTGATTTGTATTTTAACTCCCAAAACATTTGAAGTAATTTAAATAATCCAAGATTAATTGGTAACATGCTGATCAACAGAATAAAGCTAGTCAACGCCATATCTATAAATTAGATATCTTGTGCCCATACACATTTATAATAAAATTTTATACATTATATATATAATATTTAAAATTATAATAAATTAGATAATAAGCATATCGCATTTTATAAATTTTATTATTAATAAAATAAATGATTTAAATACAAACAATTTAACTTAGTTACATATTATTGCAATAATGTATTTCTTATAATTTCGAGTGACTAAGACTAATCAATTAAAGAAAAACTCTTGAAACAATTATTATTATAGGTATGTGTGGAATTTTAAGTGGGTTGATTATGCCATAAAAAAAAAAATAACTAATTTTATTAGAAAATTACTCAATGAGCTAAAAATAATTTTAAATAAATAGTTTTAGAAAATAAAATTGCAGTAGAATTTCTTATATGTATATAATTTTTATGTATCATTCAGTGTGACTTTATGATTAATTTGCAGTGCTATTATGTAATAATATATAATTACTTAATTAATGCAAAATATAAGGAATGGTTCAAATGCATCAACTTAGTTAAAGTGAGGACGTAAGACTCATTTTTAGCCACAAGATTTGGTACATATCATGTGTGGCCAAGATTTACTCTTTTCTTTTTATTATTTTAATTATTTAAATATTATTTTAACCCGTTGATTCCGGCGTTGACCATTGACTTCGGCGTTGATCGTTGACTTCCGGCGAAATCCGTTGACTTCCGGCGTTGACCGTTGACAACTAACCTTCCAACTAGGTTAGTTCTCTGTAGTTGCTAGGTTATTTCTTTCTTGCTGCTAAGTTAGCTGTTTTTTGTTGCTAGGTTAGTTATCTTTAGCTGCTAGGTTAGTTATGTTTTGTTGCTAGGTTAGTTGTCTGTTGTTGCTAGGTTAGTTATTTGTAGTTGCTAGGTTAGTTGAGTTTTGTTGCTAGGTTAGTTGTCTTAAGTTGCTAGGTTATTTTTTTCTTGCTGCTAGGTTAGTTGTCTTTTGTTGCTAGGTTAGTTATCTGTAGCTGCTAGGTTTTTTTTTTTTTAAACCCGGAAGGGCGGGGGATCGGGCTGGATCCCCAACCTGTGCATAGATCAAGACCCCAAAACTGGGGCCCAAAATATTAACATACTACAGTCTACAAAGTCTAACAAGCAAAACAAAAACAACAAAAGAAAAACAAAAAAAGAAAAAAAAAATACAAAGTCTGTCATCGGGCTAACAGGTGCCCGGAAGCAAAAGTCTAATCTAAAGAAAATGAAAAGCCTAATCTACTGAAAGCGGAAAGATGGATATCCAAGCTGGTCCTTCCGTACAAGCGTGCAAAGTCGGAGTGGAGCAGTGTCGATCTGAAACGTATGGGAGTCTGGTGTGGTGGCGCCAAGGCTGGCTAGGTAGTCCGCAGGTCTGTTCCCCTCACGGAAAATGTGCGTGATCCTGTGATGGACAGACCGGAGTAGCGCTCTAATACGCATAAGCGGGTGCTGAATCTGCCACGAGCCCTGGTGGCCCGAAGTCAGGAGGGTGGCGACAGCCGCAGCATCTAGCTCGATCCAAATATGGCTAGAGAGGTGGACAGCAATCTGAAGGCCGATCTGTAATGCCTGAATCTCTGCATTGTAGCTCGAGGAGGCCTGAAGGGGCGCGTGGAAGGCGGTGATGAGGGCGCCATTGTGGTCTCGGATCAAGCCTCCTCCTCCGGCAACTCCGGTGTGACGATCAAAGGAGCCATCAGTGTTCAGTTTGACCCACGGAGAGTCAGGTCGAAGCCAAACAACAGCTCTGGCCCGAGGAGGCCGAACAGGCAGTGTGGGGGCCATCATGTAACGGTGTGGCGGCGTGCAACCTGTCCAGTCTCGGGCCGTGAGCCTGCCCAAGGCTATGAGAAGTGAAATGTGTCTCTTTACCTGCAAAACAATGTAAGAAAACAAAAAGGTAATATCTCTATGCTTCGCACTATTCCTCTCTGTCCAGGTGAACCAAAGGATCAGACAAGGAATGAGGAAGCCCACGTGTCTAAGGTGTGTGCTCTGTGAGAAAAAACTCAAGAGCTCAAAGAAACTGTCTGTGGTGGGTAGGGATATATGGGTCCAAGTGGCAAAATGCTCCCACACTCTCCTCACAATCTCACTCTCTATAAAAAGGTGGGTAAAGGTCTCGGTCTTATGGCGTTCAGTCTCAGAACAACACACACACCGAGAGGGAAAGGACATCCCCCTCGCGTGTAACACAGTATCCACGGGTATCCGGCGCAAGAGAAGGCGCCAAAGGAACACCGAAATGGTAAGGGTGAAAAGGTCGCTCCAGATGGCCCCGAAGAGAAGATTAGGCCGATCTATCAGCCTGATCTGCTCCCAAGCCGAGATAGTAGAAAACACACCCGATGATGTAAGTCTCCACCTCATGCCATCCGAACCGTCCCCCGAGATGGGGATATGTTAGATCTGATCTAAAAAATGCTCGCTAAAACCCGCACCAGAGCTCAACTCCCTATCTAGCTTCCCCCTATCCCACGACCCGTCCGTCCAAAGGTCGCTCACAAGCAGGTAGGGGGAATGCGACACCTGCCTATCCCTAGACAACGGCCTATCACCTACCCACCACTCATCCCAGAAACTAACCTCGCCCTCGCCCAAAACCCAAAAGATGTGATCCTGGGCGCGCCTACCGACCTTAGTGAGGCGCCGCCACTATCTGCTATCATGATCAACTGTCGTTACCCAACAAGGGTGGTTGGCACGGCTAGGGCAGTACTTGCCGCGAAGGTACTGAGCCCAAAGCGACTTCCCTCCCTGAAGCGCCACCACAGCTTGTAGGAGAAAGCTGTAACAATATCCCTGAGGCGGCGGATGCCAAGGCCACCCTCGGGGAGGGGGTGGCAGATAGAGTTCCAACTCACCCAGTGGGTACGTCTCTCCCTCCCAGAACCGTCCTTGTAACCCCAGAAATAACGAGCCATAATCTGGTCAAGCTCGTCAAGAGTAGACCTAGGGGGGTCGAGGACCATAAGCAAGTGAATCGGAAGAGATCTAAGAGTGCTCTTGATCAGCACAAGTCGACCACCAAAAGAAAGATGTCTATGCGACTAACCAGAGATCATGTCAATCATCCTCTACCTGACGCCCGCAAAGAGCGCTCTCGTGAGGTTGCCCTTATATAAAGGGACACCAAGGTAGGTAATGGGAAGGTCATCACGCGCAAAGCCTGTAATGTCGTGGACCCGCTGAGCCCACCTGTCCGCGCTGGAAGAGGAGAGGGTGAAGGTGCTCTTCTGCACACTGACCAGCTGACCGGTTATCGAGCCATAGTGCTCCAGAAGGCGTATAAGCTCGACCAGTCTATCATCAACCGCCCGGGTGAAGATGATGATGTCATCCGCATAAGAGACGTGAGAGATGAGAGGACCATAGCCACGGGTGCTATAGGTCATATGAGGAGAGTCGTGGATGAAGTCGTCAAGGCAGCGAGAGAGGTAGTCCGCCGCAAGAACGAAAAGGGAAGGGGAAAGGGGGTCACCCTGTCTAAGGCCTCTAGAGAAGGGAAAGAAGTCGGTGGGGCTGCCATTAACCAGGACCGAGAACGTGCAATGCTCAACACGCGTCTCCACAAAACTGATCCAACGCTCAGGAAATCCCATAATAGCCAGTGCCTCCCTAAGAAACGGCCACTCAACCCTATCATAGGCCTTAGCCATGTCTAGCTTCAGCGCGATATTCGGAGCCCGCTTCCAGTCCGCACGGGAGATGTCGTGGATCATCTCCTGGGCCAGAAGGATGTTATCACTAATGACTCGATCCTTGACGAAGCCACTCTGGTTCGGAGAGATGAGGGAGGGGAGAAGGGGTGAAAGGCGGCTGCTAAGAATCTTCGAAATGAGCTTGTTGGTCACGTTACACAGGCTAATGGGCCTGTAATCGGACCAAGAGCTCGGGTTAGGTCTTTTGGGGATCAAGACGACAGAGGTAGACGTGAAGAATCCGGCATCCGGTGACCAGAGAAAAAATCCAACATTGTCTCCTCGACGTCAGTCTCGACTAAATCCCAGCAGACCTGGTAGAAGAGAGAGGAGAAACCATCTGGGCCAGAAACGCTGTTGGGATCAATCCCGAAGACAGCGTCCCTAACCTCCTCCCTACTCGGAAGCTCACAAAGTCCAATGAGATCAACCGAAGGAGGATTGGTGGGGAAAAATGAAGTGGTCGGGGCCACGAGGGACCCTCTGTCAGAGGTGAAAAGGGTCTGGAAGTGAGCAACAGCCGACTCCCGAATCTGAGCCTCCTGGGTCAAGGATGACCCATCAGCCTCGATACTATGGATGTACGACTTAGCCCGCTTCTGCCTAACGTAGCCCTGGAAGAACCTAGTATTCCGCTCGCCCTCGGCCACCCAGCGAACGGCCGCCTTCTGCTTCCAGAAGTCCTCCTTCATAAGGAGTCGGAGCTGGTACTCGGCGTGGCAGCGGTGCATCGCATTCCTATTCTCCGGAGTGGGGTCCAGGTCATAGGCCCGCTCAGCCGTTGCTTGCGCACTCTGAGCCGCAGAAAGGCACTGATGAAGGTTTCCAAAAACTTCCCAGTTCCACTGTCTCAACCAACGCCGCAGTCTGCCGAGCTTCGCCTCGAGATTGTGCATCCCGAAGAGCCTAGTCGGCTGAAGCCAGGAATCCCTGACAGTGTCGTGGAAGGAGTGGTGGCAAACCCACATGTTCTGGAACCTAAATGAAGAGCGGCGGGGGTTGCTCGAAAATCGGCACCGGATGAGAAGGGGTGAATGGTCAGATCCAAATCGAGTAAGGTGTGTGACGGTCGTAACCGCAAACACCTTCGCCCACGCCTCAGAAACCAAGGCACAGTCTAGTCTCTCTTTGAGTCCGTCTCTCACCATCTGTAGCTGCTAGGTTAGTTGTCTTTTGTTGCTAGGTT